AGATTATCAGAGGTCTTTGGGACCCACTCTCGTACATACATAGGCTTTGGGTCGTGTAATAGGGTGATTAGCTTTTGAGGTAGCTCTGCGTACGTATGACCAGATTATCAAATTTGAATAACTTTGCCTAGTACATCGAAATTACTCTGTACATGAATAAGGCTATTCATTGGGTACCTTTTTGTGTAATTTTTCAATATTTCTACAGCTTATTAGATTTCAAATTATAGAATTCAGTTTATTCAATTCTCAAAATAAAGCTTTCAGCTTATTGTATTGAGCAACAACAATATTTCATGAATTTTCATTGATATCATATTATTTATATTCGATATGTTTTACAGTTACTTATCTAGAATGAAGAACAAAGAATTTTATGATGCAATTATGTTTAGTTTTAAAAGTGTTACTAGATTTCAGAATTTCTCAAAGTTTTGTTAGAGCAAGAATTTTCAGAATATATGCATAAAAGAAAAATATGTTTTTTTGTAAATTATCCACTCACTGAGCTTTAAGCTCATATATTTTTTCACATTTTTCTTTATCAGACAGAAAATAGACAAATTGAGCAGCTTTGGAGCATGTCGAACCACTGAATTGAGCCACGCGTCATATGTTGTATGACATCTTTTATCAGATTATATATTGTGTTCTTTTGGGATATACATAAGTTAAATCAGAAAAGTTCATTATGGGCTCATTAGATATTTGGTATCTTTAGTACTTTTGAAGATTATTGGTTGTAAATCAAGTAAATATTGATTTCCTAGCATTTTATTTGAATAGTTTGTATTTTTGAGGGACTGGCATACCCTGATTTATTTTATAGGTATTGATTTGGGAAAATTGGTTATCGTTCAGGTGGTTTTAGTTCGTATTTTAGAGGAAATTCTGTCAAAATTCTGTTAAAAATATTTTTCAGTCAAGCAAGTCAAAATTACCTTGGTGGTGGGTCCGACATTTAACTGGCATCTACCACCGGCGCACGACACGTGTCGAGTCATTTAGGATGAGTCGGGACGGGTCGTGTCAGTTGTAGTTTGGGGGAAAAAGATTGCCAATATGGTGGGATGGGGTGACGCGGAGTCTAATCAATGATAATTAACACTACAGTCCTTAATGTTTAAGGCTAGAGGTAATTTGAAATTCATTTCTTGTGCTCTCAATTTTAAGAAAAGTTTAACCACTTGCCCAAACTTTTGCTTTATTTTGCATTTTGAGTTATAATATTTATTTCTTGAAAGCACTATTTACAATGTGTACATGATCCTTAATAATTTAACCCAAAAAAAAAAGTAACGAAACAATTACTCCTATATAAATGTAATACTGTTAATGGCTTTGACAGCATAATGCAGTCAATTTTAAGGATTTTTTACAATATCCTTAATATATTCAATAAAATGAAAGGCATTGAAAAGATATCTCACTCTATAATAATAATGTAAGAAAAAAAATCATGTGAGATTTCCTAGTTAAAAGTAAAGTTAAGTGCCTAAAAATAGGGTAAGTACAATTAGGTGTTCGTACACTTTTTGTACAAATTTTCCATTTAACATCCTTATTTTCAAATTAATTATAAAAAGCACCTTTTAGGGATTTGGAATGTCAACATTAGGGTTATTGTTAGGTCACCAGTCAGATGTTAACGTTGGCTTATTAAAGCTCATCTCGTGGGTGACTCAGGATCGTCAAATGACTAGCTCGAGCACGAGCTGAATAGGGGTAGGATCCAATGAGCCAAGCCTTGTTGGGCTCGTCAAGCTCATTAGTGGTCATCGGCTCGTAAAAAATGTGAAGAAAAAGTTTGAATTTTTTTTAAAAGAAAAAAAATTGAGCTTGTGGGTTCGGCTCTGCCCACGAGCTCGCCTCATAGGCACTAGTCAAGGTGTGGCTTCTTTGACATTTGCATAAAGCGGCTTACTATCCCTACTGCATATGCAATGCTAGGTCATTTTAAGGTCAAATAGATTAAGCTTTCTACCAGCTGTCGATACATAGTTGCATTCTCCAAATCCTTGCCTTAAACTGCACATAGCTTGGAGTTAATCTCGATTGGTGTCGATATTGGTTTGCAGTCGATCATTCCAAACTTCTGTAAGAGATCTCTGCTATATTTGTGCTGACACAGGAATAATCATTTTTTCGTTCTTTACATCTCGAGTCCCAGAAAATGATTTAGTTCTCTAAGCTTTTTTAGTTGGAATCTTACTGATAGATTCCTTCTGGTCCATTAGATTTCATCTTCATTGTTTCCAGCAATGATAAGATCATCCACATATACTAGCACTATAGTTAATTTTCCTTTTTGTGCTTTGACGAATAAACTCGAGTGTGCTGGTGTTACCGAGTATCCACTTTGAACTAAGAATTCGGATATCTTTCAACACCATGCTTGTAGTGCCTGCTTTAACCCATAAATAGCTTTCTTTAACCTACAAACATATCCTGGTTTATTTTTGAATCCCTTTGGTTGCTCCATATATATGTCTCGATCAAATTCTCCGTGGAGAAATGTATTTTTCACATCCATCTGCCATAGCTTCTAGGACTTGCTTGCTGCTAAAGCTATAAGTACTCTTACTGTAATAATCTTTGTCATTGGACTAAATGTCTCATCAAAGTACAGACCATATTGTTGAGAAAATCCACAAGCTACTAGTCGAGTTTTGTATCTTTCAATTGATTCATTTGGACGTTTCTTTACTTTGTAGACCCATTAACAAGATATAGTCTTTACTCTATCAGGCCTTGGCATCAAATCCCAAGTCTCATTTTCCCTTAGAGCCATGATCTCTTCTTCCATTGCTTTTCTCCACTCCTTGTGTTGGATCGCTTCTTCAAAGGTTTCTGGCTCTTTGACATTATCATCTTATTCTACTACTGTATGAACATACTTGGGTCTGGTTTTCTTTGTCTAGTTGATTTTCTGAACTGTGGTTGTGGGCTTAGCTCAACCTCTTCTTGTTGACTCGGCCTTTTCTCTTCGGGTGTTGCCTAATGTACACCTATCTGCCAAAGACTTTTTATTGCGCCAGTAGACTCATTCTCATCACTTGATTCTTCTACATCTTTTTTTTCTTAGGACTTTGTTGTACTTCTGTGAAATCCTTTTGCAATTTGTCATTTATTTCCTTTAAATCTGGTAGCTCCACTTTATGTGGTATCCACCATGAAGATGCTTCATCAAGCACCATATTCCTTGATGTATAACAACGATAAGTTGTTTCCATCTTTTTCTTTGACTGTCACATCCCACAAATATGCACCTGATTGCTTTCTTATCAAACTTGCTCCTTAAATGACTAGGTACAAAAACATGACATACATAGCCAAAGACAAGAAATTGGCTTATTGTTGGCTTCATTTTCCACAATTTCTCAAATGGTGAAATGAACCCCAGCTTGGGTTGTGGTAATCTATTGGTCACATGTGCTGTTGTCTTCATACACTCAGCCTTAAACCTTCGTAGCACATTTTTCGCATGTAGCATACTTTGAAACATTTCAGCAAGGTGTCGATTCTTTCTTTTCGCTACACCATTTTGTTGTGACGTATTTGGACATGCCAGTTGATGGTGTATTTTATGTTCTCTTAAGTACTGGGAAAATTCTCTTCATGTATATTCTCTCCCATTATCCGTGCATAAGCACCGAATCTTATTTTCAACTTCTTCTCTACTTTATCTTTAAACTCCTTAAACTTTATAAATGTCTCGGATTTTTCTTTCATAAAGGAAACCCAGACGTACCTTGAGAAGTCGTGGATAAATGTCACCATGTAGTGTATACCTCGATTTGATGGTTGCTTAACAGGTCCAAACACATCAGAGTTTATCATCTTCAATGGTTTCTTTGCTCTATAACTTGACTCCTAATACTGTAATTGATGTGCTTTATCGTATTCACAGCTAGCACATACCATGTCATCTTTGATCTCAAGTTGAGGGAGACTTTTGAGCATCGACTCCTTCATCATTACCTACAACTTGTGATAACTCACATTTCCTGTCTTGCATGCCATAAATATGCTATCTCATTCTTTTGAGTCTTATCTACGTATGCAGACTCTGTTGACATTATATAGATGGACTCTAATCTCTGTCCCTCCATTATTGGTGTGCCTGAAATTGCGATATTTTGATACACCTTGACATCTTTCGGTCCAAACAGAACATAGTTACTTGATGATGTCAACTGCGCTACTAATAGGAGATTTTTCTTCATATCTGGCACATGATAGATGTCTTGTAACTACACTTGACTAGACTAAAGTGAGGTGTGATAACTGTCTTACCAATGTGAGCTATTGGTAATCTTGAATTGTTGGCAGTTACCATCATTCAATTTCCTTTGTACTCCGTTGTATTTAGCATATTCTTTTTATCGCCTGTCATGTGGTTGGAACATCTAGAATCGACAATCCAATCATTTTCATAATTTATTTGACCAGGAAGTATCACCTCTAGTGCCAATTCTTTTTCGGAGACTTGACTACCATCCTTTTCTTAAATTTTCTCTACAAACGATGCTATAGCATTTCACTCTTCTTCACTATTATATTTTTCTTCTTCATTAGAGGCTGCCATATTAACTTCTACTGGTCTTTTCTTGAATCATCAATCTCTGACATAATGGCCTCTTTTGTCACATACAAAGCACGGACCATTATTTCGTTGAAATCTCTTGGACAACCGACCTCTCTTATCATGACTTTGTTTGACTCCGCTTGTCACAAAACTTTCTTCATGTTTATTTTATTTTAATTCTTTATTACTTTGTTGACGGGGTTGACCTTTTCTTTTATAATTATATAACGCTTCTTCCTCTTCTTTTTTTATTGAGACCCTTAACATTTGCCTGGTTAATGCTTCTTGGTCGGCTAACAAATTTTCTAGATTGACTAATTAAGGTTGCTCGGGCCAACCTTGTATTGCAACGATAAAACTTCCAAATTCAGGTCTCAATCCATGTATAATTATTATTCTCATTCGGGACTCCAAAATTTTTCATAAAGCATCTAACTCTGAAATTTCACGACAGAGAGATTTAACTTTATTAAAGTATTGACTTATAGTTAGTTCTCCTTGAGTGATCGAGAGAAACTCATTCTCCAGAAGCTACAACCTTAAGTCATTTTTCTTTGAGAATAGTGAGATCAAAGTGTACCATGCATCATTTGGTATAGTCTTGTCTCTTATGTGATCCAACAAATTTTATTCGATTGTTGTCTTTATAACAAACAAAGCCTTACCTGCTTTGATTCTCTATTTCTTTAAAGCTCCGGCCTCCTCTGGTGGCATTACGTCACTTTCACCAACTACTTCCCACAGGTCTTGCTCTTGGAGATATGACTCTATGGAAGTTTGTCATATGGTGTAATTTTGATTATTGAGCTTCTTTACTCCGCCTACTACTTGTAGGCCACTCATCATGACTTGATTTACCTCCTCGTAATCAAGTAAGCTTTACAAAAACTTCACAAACTCCTTTTGTGTACGAACTCAAGAAGCTCGAAAAATTCTTTCCCGACTGCCTTGCTCTGATGCCAATTTGAAGAGTTTAAACACTAAAAGAAAGCAATTTTTATTGATAAAATAAAATTTTACACAATTTTTGATGCACACCAAAATTACTAACCTCACTTATATTATTTAAAAATGGAGCACTCACAATATTTTCTTTCTTTCACTTACTACACTCTCTGTACACACAAAATGCAACTAGACATGGATATATATAGGTGCTAAAGAAGGTGGTTGATTCTTCTACACAATTCCATAATGTTGGTGATGGTGTTTCCTTCATCTTCTAGAGAATTCTTCCA